TTGTTTCTCCGGTGTCGATCCAGAGAGTTGATCTTTCAAGCAGAACGTTAGTTTGAGTTTTATGACATTGTTGACGAAAAACGCTTGTCTTTGGCCTTGTTTTATCTTGATGCACGGCTCTAATTTGGTATCGATTGCTATTTCGAAATAAACAGCTAAGTGACTGGAATTCTTTTACGGAGAAACTTCTATTTCGTTTCCGCACTCGTCATTTGGAAATGATGGAGGGTCGTTTATCCAAGATATTCCATACATCGACTGTTGAGAAGTTTCAACGCCGATTTAAAGTGGTTGCCAATGAGTCAATGGCCTTGCCAAAGCAGTTTCTAGTTCGTTGTTGTACTGCTGGATTGCGAGATGATATTAATTCATCTGTCTTAATACAAGAGCCTAAAACTTTAGATGAGGCCATCAAGGAGGCCCAACTACATGAGCAAAGAATAACTGCTGTAAAAGGGTCACCCGACCCGGTTTTCCTAAAACCCAACCTCTGTTGCCCACTCCCACCTCATCGCCATCGATTTTCTCTTCCACCCCTAATCCTCGCTCCACCATTTTGGCCTTCCCATATCCAAAACCACATACAAACCCAACCATCTCCCTCTCAAACTCCTTACCCCGGCTGAAACTCATAATCACCGTGAGAAGGGCCTTTGCTATTATTATGACAAGAAGTATCTGCTTCTCATAAATGCAAATCTCTTCCTCAATTATTTTTGTTGGTTGATGAGAACGAAGAAGAGACTTCGGTAGTAGAACCCCTCATTACTAATGAAGCTTTGGCAGAGGAACTTCAATGTTTAGAGGTTCAAGAACATTCCTCTATTTCTTATTATGCATTAGCTGGAGGGCATTCATCACATACTGTTTGATTCACTAGCCATGTCAATGGATCTCCAATTCAGGTTTTGCTCCATTGGGGAAGCACGCATAATTTTATTCATGATCGTATTGCTAAATTTTTGCAATTGCCAATTGAGCCAACTTCAAATATCTTTGTTCTCGTGGGAAGTGAGCAGCGCCTCCGTTGCGATGGGCCGGTGCGTCAGGTTTCTCTTGTTGTACAAGGTCGTGAGATTTACCTTGATTTTTATGTTCTCGCACTACACGAAGCTGATTTGGTTCTAGGAGTTTCTTGGCTTGCTACATTAGTTCCAGTGGTCAAAGATTATTCCACTCGCATTTTTGAGTTCTCTTTCCATGGAACAAGTTATCGTTGGCAAGGGGAATCGCCTACCGGGGTCCAACTAGTTCAACTACATAGTTTACGCCGTCTAACGGCTACTGATGTCATATCTTCCTTCTTTTGTTTGGAGTAGGTGCAAGAGGACATGGTCACCTCTAAAAATACTCCAGTTAATCTTAAGGAAATACTCAATTCATTTGAAGATGTCTTTTAGAAACCTCAAAGTCTGCCTCCAGAACGATCCCAAGATCATGCTATTTATTTACAACCAGGTACTGTCCTGTTAATGTCAAACCATATCGTTGTCCTTATTTTCAAAAGCAGGTAATGGAGCAATTAGTCACTGAGATGTTAAAAGAAGGCATCATTCGACCTAGTACTATCCATTCTCCTCTCCGGTGCTATTAGTTCGAAAGAAGAAGAGAACATGGCGATTTTGTGTGGATTATCGTGCCCTCAATGCCCTAATTGTGCGTGATCGCTTTCCAATTCCTATGATAGATGAGCTTTTTGATGAATTACATGGGGCTCAATACTTCTCTAAGCTGGACTTACTTTTGGGGTACCACCAGATTCGTGTTCGAACAGAAGATATTGGGAAAATAACATTTAGGACTCATGATGGCCATTACGAGTTTTTGGTTATGCCGTTTGGGTTATCCAATGCTCCCTCCACATTTCAAGCCACCATGAATGACATCTTCCGGCCTTTGCGACGTTTTGTGTTTGTTTTCTTTGACGATATACTCGTCTATAGGCCTGATTGGATTGCTCATTTGGCCCACCTTTAATTGGTGCTACAACTTCTCCGACATCACCAATTACTAGCCAAAAGGAGTAAGTGTTTAGTCGGCCAACAAACCATTGATTATCTTGGTCACGTACTATCTCATCAAGGATTGGCAGTCGATTCGACCAAAATTGTTGCCATCCAGCAATGTGAAGGATGTTCGTAGGTTTTTGGGGCTCGCTGGATATTATCGGAGATTCATCTATCATTATGCTTCCATCGCAGCTCTTTTGACTGACGTATTGCACAGAGATGCCTTTCAATATAATGACCAAACACAGGAAGCACTTGACACCTTGAAGAAGTGTCTAAGTTCGACTCTTGTTCTTGCATTTCCTGATATTAGTCATGTATTTCAGCTAGAAACTCATGCATATAGTGTGGGGATAGGCGCAATCTTATCTCAAAGGGGCCATACTGTAGCTTTCTTTAGCAGAAAGTTAAGCTTCTGCATGCAACGAGCTTCTACCTACCACCGAGAGATGTTTGCTATCACCCAGGCAGTTGGTAAATGATGATAGTATTTACTTGGACGCAAATTTACAATACTCACTGACCAACATGCACTTCGAAATCTTACCACTCAAACAATCCAAACTCTGGAGAAACAGAAGTGGTTGAGAAAATTACTCGGCTATGAATTTAGCATTATCTATAGGCCAGGAAAATAAAACATGGTTGCTGACGCATTGCCGCGTAATCTTGAAGCTAATTTTATGGCTATATCTATCCAAATTTCGGCGTTAGTTAACGAGTTAAAGGAATTGAACCGAATCTATCCCGAATTATTGGAAATTCAGCAACAACTTGATCAACATCCCGAGTTGCGCAGTGATTATGTTTTCAAATAGGGGTTGCTCTTTTACAAGGGACGTTTGTAATTCATGCAGATTCACCACTCTGTCAGTAACTGTTACATGAATTCCATGCTTCTACAGTTGGTGGACATACTGGGGTTGCTAGGACCTATCACCGTGTGGCCTCTAATTTTTACTGGAGAAATAGAAAGAAAGACGTGCAATCTTTTGTGTCCATTTGTCAGGTCTGCCATCAAATGAAAGACATTCATCATTACCCCGCAGGTCTCTTACAATCTCTACCAATCACAGATATGGTATTTGCGGATATAGCGATGGAATTTATTACTTGCTTACTTAGTTCCAAGGGAAAAGCCACCATAATGACAGTGGTTGACTGGCTCACAAAGTTCGGGCATTTTATACATTTACTATCCACTTTTTATGCTCGTACAGTTGCTAAGGCTTTTGTGGTTGGTGTTATCAGATTACATGGTCCGCCGAGAACTATTATGACTGATCGTGATCCTCGATTCATCCATTCTTTTTGGCAAAAGATTAATAAAATGCAGGGTACCACTCTTGATATGAGTATAACTTATCACCTGCAAACCGATGGACAATCTGAGGCTCTAAACAAGTATGTCGAATAGTACCTTCGATGTTTTGTGGTGGATAGTCCTTCAGAATGGGTGTCCATGCTGCCATGGGCTGAGTACTGGTACAATACATCACTTCAAACATCAGGTGACATGACTCATTTTCAAGCTCCTTATGGAAGAGAACCACCAACAATTGCTAGATATATTTTGGACAGCAAAAATAGTGAACTTGTGGAATAATTTTTAATCCAAAGGGACGAGGTGTTGGATATACTTAAAACAAAATTTGGCTAAAGCTCAGCGACGAATGAAGGAGCTAGCAGATAAACAAAGAACTGAGCTTCACTTTGAGGTGGGAGATTGGGTCTTTGTGAACCTCAAACCATACAAACAAGCATCAATTCGACTTCAAAGACATCACAAACTGGGAAAAAAGTACTTTGGTCCATTTCGTGTTCTCAAAAGAATTGGAGAAGTGGCGTACAAAGTAGAATTTCTAGTAGATGCGAAAATCCATCCAGTCTTTCATATATCACTACTTAGGAAATGTTCAGGGCAACCAAATAATCAGATTAGCCACTTTACTTGACTGATTTTGTTGATAATGAAAGACCTATAGTGCTGAACCTTGAGGACAAGGTTCTCATTGGAGATAGGGGTAATGTTATGAATCTAGAATCACAAAATAAACTTGCTGACGGGGCTATCGAGTTGGGTGCTGATGTGGAGTCCACGAAGGATGCTATTGAGGACAATACGAGAAGGGGCAAACGAGTGAGACAAATGCCTTCAAAGTTACGTGATTATGTAGTAGGACGTGGGTAATGTAGTTATAGGAGTTGGTTATATAAGGTAGAGTAGCGGATCAGAAAAAGTTAGGCAGAAGTGATTCAAAATATTCTCTTCTCATCTATATCTCTGTAATTCTATTTCTCATCTCCTTCTTCTTTCAGTTGTTACTCCCTGCAACTCTATGTTAATTTCATCCCTGTAATTCCCTTTGCATATCAATATAAGTTATTAATGGTGTGGTTAAGTATTATTGGTAGCAACTGCTACAATTTGAAATTAAAAAGTTAAAGAAAAAAAGTATTTTAAAGTTGTGTGAATATGTATTCCACTTACAAAGAAATTGGAAGTTTTGTGATTGAAAAATTAAAATACTTTCGAACTTGTCCTCCAAACTTCAATTTCAAATTTGAAGTTGATATAATGAATCAAACAAATACGTATCAAAATAATCTAACTAAATACAATTTAAATATTTGAGACCAAATCTGTTTTCCTCCCGTATTAAATATGAATATTAACTGCATTTACTTTTACTCTATAATCATATTTAAAAAAATAAAATAAACTACCACCGATTCAGAATAGTTGCAGTTTATTTTGCAACAGTCATAAGTCAATTACACTCTTTTTAGTATGTTCCAAACATAATGGACACATTCTTTGTATTGAAAAATAATTTAATTTTAAATCTGTTTTATTCTATAGTCATATAAATACTTTGAATTTTGTATAGATATAAATTTAAAAAAAATTCCCGCCCAATTAACAATGTCACGTAAATTGAGACGTGGGAGGGAGGGAAATTTTACCTTTTTTTTCGTTTTACTTTTTTATATTTTTTACTTTCCATATTTATGCCCTAATGGCTCTGTAGATTCTTTTCAAGATCTGAAGCAAATTTAATGATCAACACCAATTTATCTGGTCTGGGTCTGCTTCATTTTTCATACTGGTTCCAGTTTTAGTAAGTTCAGTTAATTCTTGATTTTAGTTCTTACCTTTTTTGGACTTCTTATTCTCTGTTTCAGCTTATTGTGTATCCAAATTAATGCTTTGTGGTTTTGTATATTTTTTTTATCTTTTACTTCGGTTCAAGTTTTGATCTTTTTGCTATATGGAAGTTTATGCACGCATCTTGGTGTTGATGTTCTAATTAAACATGTTTTGTAATTAATTTTTGTTTCTGTTTAAGTTCAGTTTGAAATTGAACTGAAAGAGTTAGTGTTATTGAATTTGCTAAGTTAATTGATTATTGGGGTTCAATGATTTTTTCTCTCTCTCAATAATATGCAGATTTAAGAATCTGAATTAAGTTGTCACTTGGAATGGTTAATGAGTTAAGGTTTAATTATCTTTATCTCGATTTTAGTTTTTATTTTTCAAATTTGTGAGGTAAAGGTTTTGTCAAAATTGTTATGTCAAATTTGAATTGCTTCATCTTCACAAGTACAATTGAAGTAAGAATTTGCTTAGTCTCGGAGACTTTTTTTTAAAGACGGCTATTCGAGCCAACTTGTCCGGACCTCGACTATTCCTCCCAAATTGCCCGGACCTCGACTATTCCTCCCAACTTGCCCGAACCTCGACTATTCCTCCCAACTTGTCTGGATCTCGACTATTCCTCCTAACTTGTCCGGACCTCGACTATTCCTCCAAATACCTGCTACCTCCCACCAACATAGGTATCGGGTAACTCTGTCCACCAAGACTGGGACAAATGGGAAGAAATCACCTATTGTTATTCGTCTTCTGCTCGGATTTGAACCCGAGATCTTATGATTCTCCTCCCACTTCATTTACCTCTCGGAGTCGGAGATTGTTAACTGTTTATCAATGGAGCAGATAAAGATAGAAAAATGACTTGTCTAATAATGTACTCATTGTTTTATTGTAGGTTTGTAAGCATGTTGTTTCCTAGAACTGATAGTTAGTGTAACTTCTTTCTATAGATTTCTTGGGTGGAAATTGGGCTAAAGTTTTGAACTTTGAGATGGCAAGCATAGAGGAAGCGCTAAAAGCTAAAGCGAATGCTGAAACGAAATACGCAGAGAGAGATTTTCTGGGTGCCAAAAAGTATGCTTTAAAGGCTCAGATGTTGTGCCCTCATCTAGCGGGCATATCACAAATGGTGGCCGCATTTGGGGTTCATAGTGCTGCAGCGACGAAGGTTAATGGAGAATTTGATTTTTACGCGATGCTGGGTTCAGATCCATCTTCAAACAGGGCTATGTTGAAGAAACAATATAAAAAGCTGGCCGTGTTTCTCCATCCTGATAAAAATAAAAGATTTGGAGCTGATGTCGCATTTAGGCTTGTTTCTGAAGCATGGAAAGTATTGTCGAATGGTGCTAAAAGAAGCTCGTACGATCACAGGAGAAGTTTATTTACAGTACATGCTTCTGGTGTTGGCAACGTTGGCAATTGCGCCAATTCTTCAGCTTCTCATAGCAGGCTCGACACGTTTTGGACTGTTTGTACCTCTTGTCATGTTCAGTACGAATATCATAGGAAGTATGTGAACAAAAGGCTGTCCTGTAAAAACTGCTATGGTGTTTTTATTGCTGTTGAAACAGGTCTGGACGCGGTAAGTGGTGCCTATCCAAATAGCTATAGGCATTGTGCACCGGAGAACGGATATGGAAGCCATGGTCGTGACGTTGCATATGTTCCCACAACGCCTATTTATTCTGTGAATAATGCTGTTTCAGGACATCATTCTGTGTGCAATGAGCAACCGTTACGCAGACGTGGTAGGCCTTCTAAGAAAAGAAAGCTTCTTGTGGAGAGTACATATGTTTATAATGGTGAAGCGGCTCTAGAAACGGCTACAGAAATGAAAATGGCAGATGCAAATGGGAATGGGAATATGAACCAAGATACCAAGCTTCGTACTCCTACTGAAACTTCACTCAGAAGATGTTTAACAGCTCCTGCATTTGATGTAAGACAATTATTAATTGACAAGGCAAGAACATATATCCGCAAGAAACTAGAACAGATCAGGTCGGATGCAGAAACTGGCTCGTTAACAATAACTGTCCCAGACTCTGACTTCCATGATTTTGACAAAGACAGATCAGAGGATTGTTTCAAACCGAAGCAAATATGGGCTTTATATGACGAGGAAGATGGCATGCCTCGCTTGTATTGTCTGATCCGCGAAGTCATCTCTATGAATCCATTCAAGATTCGCATCAGCTACTTGAGTTCGAAATCAGACAGTGAATTTGGACTAGTAAATTGGTTGGATTCCGGTTTTACCAAGTCATGTGGAAATTTTAGGGCCTTTAACTCTGAAATCGTTGAGCGGGTCAATATATTTTCTCATCTTCTAAGTAGGGAGAAGGCTGGTAGAGGAGGTTGTGTTAGAATCTACCCGAAAAGTGGGGATATTTGGGCTGTATATCAAAATTGGTCGCTAGATTGGAACAGAGAAACCCCTGAGGAAGTGAGACACCGATTTGAAATGGTGGAGGTCCTTAATGATTATTCCGAGGAGCTTGGTGTCTCTGTTACTCCATTGGTTAAATTAGATGGATTCAAGACGGTATACAAAAGAAAAATGGACAAGGATGCCATTCAATGGATTCCAAGAAGAGAGATGTTACGATTTTCACATCAAGTTCCTTCTTGTTTACTGAAACGGGAAGGTATGAATTTGCCAGAGGGGTGCTGGGATCTTGACCCTGCTGCAACTCCCGAAGATCTACTTCAGGGAGTAAATGAGGCGAGCACATCCAGGCTATGACGGGAGTATAGGTAAAGTAAATGCCAAGCAGTCGAAAAGTAGAGTTTGAGGTTCTTTTTTCAATCATTCTAACAGTATTGAGATTCAAATTATATAGATTTAAACACACATCGAAGGATGATTCTCAAAAAATTAGATAACTAGCAGGATGAGTATCAAAGTGATCGATAGCATTGTTTTAGGTGGCCGTAGGTTTAATCAGTGACTTGTAGTGGTAATTCAGATTCATCTCCTTTGCAGAAGTGCTTTTTATTCTCTCAGGTAGGATAATAGGACAGGCTAAAGTGGCTTCTTTGAAATATCTTACTCTACAGATTTAAGTTTCAGTTTACCTCCATAGGGTCACTTTTCATCATTCCTGATGTTTCAACCATGATCTATCTATCTATCAAGGCACTCAACTTTGTCTTTGAGGTATTATGTACATGTTTAGCTTTTCCCATGAAATGAAGTGTTAGTTCTTTGCACAATTTGTCTTATCATCTTGATTTCAACTTTATCATGTTGCAGCTCATCGTACCTTGCCCTCATTTTTACTGACTCTCTGTGTACTGATTTCTCAATCATTTCACTGCTATCCAGTTGTATATCACACCATTGTTTGCTGCTTTTGATTTGAATCTTAAGTGCACTACATTGAAATATTTGATTTCTTTCATTTGGCTACATATACTACATTTATGATTTCCTCAGTAGCCAATGTCTCGGAATTCTTTATGGAAAACTGGATGATGCCAATCAACTTGTTTGAGTTTTATTTCATCTGGGGCGCGACGTACGTCTGAAGTGTCACATATTGGTCATCTGGTTTTAGTTGCTTTTCTTATAATATCTTTTGCCAATAAGTACAAATATTGATCACGTACTTATTGTGAAAAATGAAAAATATGTCATTGACAATGGTGTCCATACATAGTAGGGATTTGGATAATATTTTAGTTGAGAAAAAAAAATCTAGAGCATGAATTCTATCTGAAAGATATGAACGACGCTGTCAATTTACACTAAAAATATCTAAGTTTGATAATCGAGTTAGTTTGACTCTGCGTTTTCATTTTCTTCTTTCTAACAACTCGCTGAAACTGTATTATGAAGTGATGAAGCAATGTAAAAGGAATCGCGTGATTATTGCAATAGCAAAATTTGCTACCAAATGCTGAATTGGAACTTTTTAACCCAGAAAATGTTGATATTGGGGCATCCTTTCTCCCAGAAATGAAACATGACATATGATTTGAAAGACCAAATATAACATTTGGATTAAGGCATATACTCCTAGTGGCAAGAATTATCACCTGTAAGCATATCAAAAGTGGAGTAAAAGGTACTCCTTCCGTTCACTGTTATTTGTTCACTATATTAAAAATATATTCTCTTTTACTCGTCCACTATGCTAAATCAAGAGAAACACAATCTTCTTTTCCTCTTTTACCCTTACCATTAACTACTCATTCTCCAAATTATTTCCTTAGACTCTTGGAAATGATATCATTGTCATACCTCCTTTTTTCCGAGGGGATAGGGGATATGGAGTTTTTTCAATTTAAGTGACATTATTCGAAATGAGATTATTTATTTATTCAGAGTCGTCACTTAGAATAATTTATGGTGTCCCAAGTCACCGATTTATTTAGAATCCCAAATTGAGGAAATTTGACTCTTATTTTTGGTCCGCGAACACAGAAAACCGGGTAAGAAATTCTGTTAACCTGGGAGAAGGTGTGAGGCACTCCCGAGTTCCGTGGTTTTAGCACGGTCGCTTAACAATTAATACTTGGCGTAATTATCTGATTTATTACATGTTTTAAACCCATTGTGCATTTTTGTCTTTTACCGCTTTTTAATATTTATGGAATTTATTTGAACAAGTCGCGATGTCGCACACTTGTCGTTTTGTTACACATTGCGAACCGCGCCACGTGAAACGCACCCGCGATTTACAACATATTTATTTTTATTATTATTTGAAGTTATGGTCAAGTCGCGTGAAACGCGCACTTGAATTGGGGTTTACGTATCATGATTATGCGACATGAACCGTACCCATAGTCACGATGATTTATTATTAATCGCGCCTAAATCAAGCTACGGTGTTCGAATATTATTCAATTACTAATTTTGACATTATTGTAAGGTCATGAGGTATGTATATTGTTATGCAGAAAATTTCGGAATTTTCAGATTTTTATTTTTTATTTTTTATTTTTTTTATTTTTAATTAAAAAGAATTTTCACTTCCCATTTTTCTTTTTTTTTAAAAAAAAAAATTCCACTTTCCTTTACTTTTATTTTTTAATTTCTCACTTTTTTTTTTACTTTTAATATATTTAAAATCTCACTTTTTTACTTTTTTTTTTTTATTTCCCACTTATTTTACTTTTCTTTTTTTTATTTTCCACTTACTTTTACTTTTGAAAAGAAAAAAATCAGATACCCTTACTTTTATTTTTTAATTCCAACTTTATTTTACTTTTTATTTTTCTAAATTTCCACATTCTTTTACTTTTATTTTTTTAATTTTCCACTTTCTTTTACTTTTTTTATTAAACAATTTCTACCTACTTTTAATTTTACTTTTCAATTTTATATTTCTACTTTTTCTATTTTTTAATTCCCATCCGAAATTTGTTTTTTTTTTNAAATATTTACATAGTAGAAGGTGATAAAAATTTAAATATAGTCAAAAATTAGGTGCTCACAATCATTATTACGGGTAAAATTATAAAATATATATATTTTATTTATTGTTTCTTAAGGACGTGAGTGCACAACTAAAAGTGAATGGATGGGGTAATAGATAGAAGTGCATTTTCACACTGCATAGTAGAAGCTTATTTGGAAAACACAAGCTTTTACAACAGAGCAAAGAATGCAGTATAGCTTATTAAGCTGCAAAATTAGTCACAATTCCACTAAGGCATAGTAACTATAAAAATACACTTAAAAGCATAAAACTATATGGTTATTAAAGTCATACAAAAGAATTACAAACCGGGGGAATCACTCATCACTTTGACTTCAATTGGTGAATCTATATGGTTATTAAAGTATTTTATACTTTTCGAGGCTCAAAATATTAATGATTTTTAAGTTTTATTTATATGTTTGATATTTTATGCATATTTTTGTATACGGGTAAAATCGAGCTCATGAGATGCCTCGTCTTATGATGAAGAAAACAGAGCAAGAGACACAACGGCAGGGAACTAGAATCGAGACCAGGAGCCCCTCAAGCTGGGGTCCGGGCAAAGCGCCCGGCCTCGAGAGTATCGGGGCTATGACCCCGAGTTCGGTTCGAATCCCAAAGGCCTCGGAGAACACTACCAGGTAACCGAGCACGACTAACAAAAGGCCATAGTATCCGTGACCAGCCGGATATCACGGCGATGATCTCGGCACCTATCGGCACAGAATCAGTGATTGGTTAAACAGAAGATTTTTACTTTTCATAAAATTGTACTTAGGATAAAACTCTTCTACTATATAAAGGGGGGGTCTGATTATTCATTGGGGACACTGTAACATGCATATCAAAGCAATATACTATAATTTCTCTGTTATTCAAAGTATTAGTTCTTGTTCATCAGTGCTTGGTCATTGTGAGTCCGGGATCGATGACAGATACTTCATTAAGGCTGTTGTTAAGTATGGAATCGCCCTCCTCGAGTGGTTTGATAATTTATTACCTCTTTTATCCGTTTAATCTTATACAATTTGAATTAATCCACGTATCCTTAAAACCACAAAAAAATTTAATTGTTATCCGTTTTTTAGGGTAAATAATTTGGCGCCCACCGTGGGGCTAAGGGTAATAGTGGCAATTTGATATGAATTTCAAAACACACCCTGTTTTTCACTTGTTCTTTGAAGTATTTAATTTTTGGTCAAGGCTTAAAATGTCGAACTCCCAATCTGCCCCTTTGAACATGGATGCTGAGTCTGGACACTATGGCGAGAACAACGATGTGGCACCCAGTAACGAGATGCCCCATGTCGACCTAAACGGAGTTCCGGTCGCCGACCCGATCGACACTAACTCATATGTGGCCATTAATGCAAACTTGCCTACCGATCCTGAGAACACCATCCGTGGGGGAGTCCGATCGGTAGTACAAAATACACACGACGGTGAAGGTGATGGGATCAACTTGCGAGTAATCTTCGAAATGTTGCAGGCTCAACCAGCAGCGATAGCCCAATTGCAAAACCAGAGTCGCGCCCTCAGCAGAGTCGAGACCGAACCATCCCGAGAAAACGCTCGTAGAAATGAACCAATCGTGGAAAGGCCAAGTGAAACTTAACCCAGGACCAACCTCGAGATTATAAATATGCTTGAGGAACTGACAAAACAGGTAGAATCAGGAGAAAAGAAGATCGAAGTCAATGACAAAAAAGTAGAAACCTACAATTTCAGGGTCGACCAAATCCCAGGAGCACCACTGATATTGAAGGGCCTGGATTCCAAGAAGTTTGTCCAACAACCTTTCCCTCTGAGCGCAGCTCTGAAGCCGATCCCAAAGAAGTTCTGCATGCCCGAAATTCCTAAGTACAATGGAACAACTGATCCAAATGAGCATGTGACCTCCTACACGTGCGCCATCAAGGGGAACAACTTGGAAGAAGATGAGATCGAGTCCGTTCTACTGAAAAAATTCGAAGAGACCTTGTCAAAAAGAGCTATAATATTGTATCACAACTTACTCCCTAATTCTATTGACTCGTTTGCTATGGTTGCAGACGCCTTCGTGAAAGCACACGCTGGTGCCATCAAGGTCGAGACTAGAAATTCAGACCTTTTCAAAGTGAAGCAAAGAGATAATCAAATGCTCAGGGAATTTGTGTCCCAGTTTCAAATGGAATGAATGGACCTGCCTCCGGTCACGGATGATTGGGCCGTTCAAGCCTTCATCCAATGACTCAATGCTCGAAGCTTATTGGCTTCACAACAGTTGAAGCAAAATCTGATAGAATATCCGGCGGTAACTTGGGCTGATGTCCATAACCGGTACCAATCAAAAATCAGGGTCGAAGATGATCAGCTTGGGGCCCCTTCCGGGTTCGTTTATACCCGTCAGAGCTAGTGACAGATCCAAAAGAGACGTTGATCGTGAACCAAGATCAAATAGATACCGGTATTAACCATACAATGGAGATCGAAGAGGTAATGGGCCTGGGAAAAACCTTGTGAGAAGTGAAAGGAGAGGCGACCGAGGACAAAATAGCCGGGGGCTTATGAGAAAAAGTGGTTTTGACAGGCCAATCGAGCCTAAGGAAGCTCCAAGGTTATCTAAATACAAATTCAACGTCGATACTGCTACCATCGTATCTGCCATCGGTCCCATCAATGACAACAAGTGGCCTCGACCTTTACAGTCCGATCCTGCCCAAAGGGACCCCAACCTAATGTGTAAATATCATGGCACTCACGGCCACAGAACTGAAGACTGCCGACAACTGAG